TAAATGACAAAACTGCTGACATAATGCTTGCTATGGTAAATTTAAACCTGTTCTCTACTGCTTGTATTTTTAAGAGTGCATCAAAGAACAAAAGAGTCTCCAAGACACATGAGCTCCTGACAGAGATTTTCAAAAAAATTGGCACCAAGGAAAACACAAGGGAGGCAAGTTTTTTTTTTATACTAATGATATTTCATTTTGGGAAAGCAATTTTTTTAAGACCAGTAGTTTTTATTGCTATGTCATCTTCTCCCATTTCCTTCCACCAAACCATTATTTCATCATTGATGTATATAGATATAGACTTAAGGGCTTAAGAATTTTTCAACACTGCATATTGCTGAGAAAAAGGTTGACACAAATTTTTTTTTTCAATAAAACTTTTTTAAAAGTTGTGGCTCTATCCATTCTGTGTATCTGTTTCAGGGACTGAATGATCTGTTTGACTTCAAGAAAAAATATCCTGAGGCTGACGTGGAGCCATTCTTGAAGAAAACTTCACCCCATTTCCAAAAATACATCAGCAACATGTTATCAGAGATAGAGAGAGAGAGAGGAGGGAAGAAAGCCGCAGGTGAGTTGGCAGCATTCCCTAAGTCAGGCTTTATGGGCCATATAGTGAATGTGGATAATATAAAAGGTAGTTCTCTTGAAGGTGCTTTTATTGAAACTTTAGAACCAGTGAAAAAAAAATAACAAGCTGAAACAGATGTTCCTTTTGAATGTGGAAAATATAGAAGATAATTCTCTTGAAGATGCATTTATTGAACCACTGAAAAACATAGTTTAGTTTAGTTATACCAATGTAGGTTTCTTTGCATGTGGATGGTGCTTCTACATTATATCACGTTCAAATTGCATTCACTAATGTGGCTGTGAAGTGACTAACAAGAGCTCAGATTATCATTAACAGACTTAGTGGGGAAAAAGATGATCTTGTTGAAGTTTTTATAACAAAAAGGCACCCCCTGTTCATTAAACCCTAAGTGACTCTTGGCATTTATTTTGAACACATTCAAGATGATGAAATGGGATTTTAACTTTAAGTGTTTTTTTTTTTAATCAAGCTATGACCAACAGATAGATAGGCAGACAAAACAGCATAAACACAATTTTTACTTATGGGAGCCGTTAAAAAAAAAGGCAATAACATTTTTTAACTAATTTATAATTGTCATTGTTTTGAGATTAAAGATGTGTGCATCATTTTATGTGACAGTACAGAATCAGTTACAACTTGCTTATCTTTTCCATTTCTGGTGCAGAGTCATTGTATATAGGGGTCTATTTGAGGCTCTCTGCATATTTTTTTGTCCGAGGCTGTTCTTTTCTTTGGGTCTCTCAGTTGTTTGTCCCACTACCTTTATAAGAGTTTAGTATTATTTATAATAGTATTAAATTTCATTAAAGGATAGATGCAGTTCAATTATCTCAAAGCACTGCACACTTCTGACTTCACATTAGTTTGTTTATATGTTTCTGTACTGTCCCATAGGTTCTGAATACAGTTGTTGCTATGTGTTAAGCATCTCCTAGTCAAGGGAGATTCTGTTCTAATGTTACAGTTAAACTTCTTGGTAAATGTTTGATGATAAAGCTAATGATAATTATTATTTTTCCTACTAGGAGAATCTGTTTACAAGGAGAATCCATCAGATGAAGACAATGAGACCACAGTTGGCCCCGAAATGCCTGATGTGGATTTCTACAGAGAAAAACTTCGAGCATTGAGGGCTAGGTGTGGTCTGGACAGTAACAATTCAGGGGAGGTAAATTCGATAGGCTTAAGTCTACATATACGTCAATAAGTATAGCCATCCATCTAAACACTACAAGTAGATGTTAAATGTATTATAAAATTGTATAGTAAAATACAATAGAATTACATATTGGAAACCTTGCTGGGTCAAAGTAAAAAGCTATTTAGCCTTCATCAGCTACAAACAAATGAAATAGACAAAACAGTAAACACAGGCTCATAGTTAACTTATGTCTAATGATGTTTGCTATCAAATCACAGATCAAAATTTTTTATCCTTAATGTATCTATATCTAATGTATTTTTCTACACCATATTTCAAACACTATTCAAGAGAAACAATCAGGACATCTCATCCCACACAGGATTTTTAAAATCTAATATATAAAGTAGAATGTAAGGAATATGTATGTCCTGCATGGAAATCAAAACTGTTAGACCAATATTGATAAAACTAGTCATAAATGTTCGTGTTAGTGTATATCTAATGTCCCTACCACAACCAGGGGGCCTTAAAAAAAAACAACAACAACTCCTAAATGTATCTCTATTAAAGAATAAAATTTGTTAACAAATCGGGTAAACCTGATTTCACAGTATTTTATATTTGATTTGAATGTGTCAGCTAAACTGACTTTGTATGATAAATTGACTGATATATAACCCTAACAATTCTTTCACATTGATCTCTCAGACTGACAGTAACAGAGCAGTCAGTGGTAATCATCCAGTGACTGTGCAAGCTGATTCTCTTGATGACACAGACCATGGGGAGATGGTAAAATTGGATTTGTTTTGTTTTACAAAGCTTCCATCAACTCTGTCTGTCTGTCTGGTAAAAAGTTTGTACACATTATTTCTCCGACACCCAATCTTGGATCAAGCTGAAATTTTCAACAATTATTTCTTTTACCTGACAATCAAGAATCATTTTTAAAAAAAACAATTAGTTAATTAACTATTGGTAATTGATTATTGTGTTTGGTATCTTGAACAAGGGAAAGAAATTGTACTTGACTGAGGTGGTAGTAAAAGCTGAATTAGTCCCTTTTAAAGTAACTTTTGAAACAGTTTATACATAACTATACAATCTTCTATAGTCATAAGCAGCTCACTAGTAGAGTGGTTAGTATTTCGGCTTTAGGAGTTGTGAGCTAAGAATTTGAAATTCAGATCGTTACCCCTTATTTTTTGTAAAGGCTTTTAAAAACAGGTTATGGTGAAATTCACCCAGATATTTCTATATGTGTAAAACTGGGAAACATTTCACTGTGGTGGTTCATGGTTGGCATATAAAAGTGACTTCAGTTTTTATACAAGTGTTAGTGGTATCTAACATAGTTGCATGATCAGAAGCATCACCATTGATTCTGAAATACTGACATCAGCTTTTATTTTGTTTTTATATGACTGGTAGATTTATATTCCAATTCTGAACAGATCCTATCAGGATTTTCTTCATTTTAAGTTTTCTTTAGCCTGTCCTCTACAAGGGCTTAATCTGGGCCTTAAATGTGTGTCCCATGGCTTTCATGAGAGTTTTCTATCTCTTTTAGAGGCCGTCTGCTGCCAGCTACTTTCCTCTTTGCCAGTGAGTGCAAAATGGCACCTGGCTGGATCTTAATAGCACTTAGGGGTTGCACTTCTGTCCACCTTTAAGCTTGCCCCAAAAAATCTCATTTTGCATGCAGTTGTCCCCCGCTTCTAGTGCTTCTATACTGTCCACGTCAGCCTCCAGCAGAACATGGTTATCTGTAAGTTTGTCCTGCTAGCGTATGACCATTAAGGAGCGGAGGCACCTTTGATTGAAGCGTTAGATACCTTCTTTAAAGCACTCAGTTCGCAGAACCATACAAAAGTGTGTTGAAAATGATTTCTCTTTATCAGCTGGAGCGATTTATTTCGCCACTCTCTCGCTTGGAGGCAGTCATGAATGCCATAAAAACGACCACATATAAATAGACTGGTACATTTCTATTTTAATTCTTAGCTAGATTTGTTTTAGCAGTTGCAAACATAAAACTAAACCAACCATCATAGAAAAACTAATAGAATTCAACAGTGAATCAAATTGCTTTTATTCTTCCACTGTGTCTTGAACAGGCTATTCAATGGAAGAGCAATGCTCCTGCAGTCAAAGAAGAACAACAAAAACAAGTGATTGATGTGACCAGTCTAAAGGCAAGGCTGGAAAAAATCAAGAAAATGGCAAACAGCTAAACCTAGGAATAAACAATTCCACTCCATTTAGTTTTTGATATTTTTTTTGTTACAAAAAAGTCTTTCTGGAAAAACAAAAAGACGTAAAATGCCTTCAGCTTCTTAACATAAATGTTGTTTTTTTTAATTTTTAAAATTGCCATTTTGCAAGAAGCTTGTTGCGACATTGAAAAGTATGTCTGTGGAGCTAATAGAAAGAAATGAAGCTTATGTATACATCTGTCATTTTAATGACTTTCACTTATCTGATAGTTCCATTTGGCTGTTGTTAATTTCCCATGGAAAATTTTTCATTTCTTCAAACATTAGCTAGGAAAAATAGTTTTATTTTTTAAATCAGGGATCTATATGCAATATATTCCCCATGTACATATTTATAAATAGAACTATGTATATTTATACAAGTTTTTGTTGATGCTTGCCTTTAAAAATGTTGTCGTTAGTTTCCGCTACAAATGTCTGGTAGTACAACAGTATTATAATAATACAAACTCCCTTTAGTTATATCAAGCTTCTATTATTTTTAAAGTAAATCTGTTTTGCATGTTGCACTTTACAGATATTGAACCACTTTGAAAATTGTCCTGTATAAAATGGTACCACAAGGTTTTGGTTAGAGTTGTCTTTGTGTCATCAAAAGTAAACCCAAGCTTTGTTTTTGTTATATTTTTGTTAAGAAATCTCATTAAAAAAAAAAACCTTCAAATTAACTTCCATACATATGCTCATAAAACTGTCTTCCTATTGAAGATATTCCTGTCAAACATTTATTCATTTTAATTCTAAACATAAACATTTTAACTTTTTTTTTTCTGCCTCACGATGCTGTCAGTGAAGTGAGAAACTACTAAATGACGAATTTTTTTTTTTTTTGTCTGCTACTTAATAACTAGCCCAGTTATGCTTTTGTAAATTTATGTTTTCATGTGTATGCACAAGTTGCATATTTGAATGGCTTCAGCCTAAAATTTTATCCAAATAAAGGAGAAGGTTATACATGGAAAGGTTTTGCTGAGAAAATCTGCCCCCCCCCCCCCCTTTTTTTTTTCTTTTGTTGAAAAACTGGTTTTATTGTGAAATAAATCTCAATACATTGTCTTTAGATTTTTTTTTAACAATTAATGTGGGGTTTTTTTGCCCCTAAGCCACCAGCGTCATACATTTCTGTGTGTGTGTGTTGACTTTGCAAATGTGTGTATGCAGATAGTATGCAAGTGAACTCTTGGATATATGTTTTTTTTTATTATGTGAGTTAAAAAAATGTGTTTTATTGAATTAACACAGCTGCCCAGTTTATAGAATCTTAAAGCAAGTTTAAAATCAGCTTCTCTTCAATTGCTGTGCTGTCCCTGAAGCCCCTTGTTTGAATGTCTCATTATAGTTTTTAGCTTGAATTCATTGCACAGGCTAAGGGAAGTTTATATAAATATATAATTTGTGGCTACAACTTTCTGTTTAGACTGTTACATAACAACATTAATTAAATATTATTTCAACAAGAATCATTTATGTTTCTTTTATTTGTCACATTTTGAGTATTCCGTGCTATAAGCATTAAAGTAGCGCTATGTAAAAGCTATAATTAATTTATTATTTATTCCAGTTAAAAGTGGCAATACAAAAGATCAAAACCAAGAAATGAAGATACTTTAAGAGTGCTTAAACTAAACAAGAATCAATGAAGATTAACATCATACACGTAAAATAAAAATATGTCTATGATTAGCACTGATTCATTGCTAGTATCTTGTACAAATCACAAGCCTTCAAACACCAACAGAACAAAAAATTATTTTAAACTTTACATTTGAGTAATTGGAGAGGTGGCTAAGTGCTAAAGCGTTTGACTTTTGAACTGAAGGGTCTCGACGAGTTTGAATCTTGGTGAAGACTGACATAAGAGTTGTTGGCCTCCTTCAGTCGTAGAGCGACTATGTTTCATCTCAAACACTTTTTCGTGTGATTGTGGAGCCCTATTCTGGAGAGACACTCCCGTCCACATATATCGAAGGTTAAGGTTGCTTTCGATTTGGTGGTAAGAGAAGCTGGCCATTTTTCGTATGGCACGCTTTTCTTCCAGACCTGAGGCTTTACGTCACCGTCACTCTCCAACTAGGGTGGTCTAAGGCTTTGTCTTCCCAATGGTCAGTATCAATGTCAGAAATGGGAAGGTAAATGCGGATGGTCGTTGAGCTGGCCACATGACACTCATTAATCATCAGCCATATAAACATGATCTTTACATAGTCTGCCCTACAGATCGCAAGGTCTGAAAGAGATTCCCTTTCATTTTACATGTGTTATAAACATAGACAGAAATGCATATAGCCTACTGTCTGTGGATTTTAACTCCCAACAAATGAAATTAACATTTGTTATTTAATTACTAGAATTATTTACTTCAAATAAAGAAGAAGAAAAAAGAAGCCTATAAAAGAAATATTGGGACGAAAGCGTCAAGGGAATTATCAAAGTAATCTTAGACCAAAATGCCAAGCCTACACACTTGTGAGGTTTTAATTTTAAAATATTCAATATTGAACGATCACATATCTTATTTTTCACAGACTCTTTAGGCCAAATGTGACGAGAATCGATCTATTGTCTTGCGTTATTTAGAGATAGAGCAGGTTTAGGGCCACATTGACTAGTTTTATTTAGAGATAGAGCAGGTTTAGGGGCATATTGACTAGTTTTATTTAGAGATAGAGCAGGTTTAGGGGCATATTGACTAGTTTTAATAATAGAGTGGATCCCTTTCACATTTTCTCAGTGCACGCCCTGTGTTAGGTATTTAGAACTATGCCCTATGTTTGCTATTAGACCCAAGTGAAGCATCTATTTAGATTTGAGTTGTTTTGTTTTCAACCCGAATGCATAATTTGTAAGGAAGTAGTTTCCATTGATGCGTACGATCTAAGTATCACAAGATCAGGGCATTGACAAGTCCAGCATTTCCTTGCTAAATAGACCTATCTCTGACTTTTTATCCTTTAGCCTATGTTTAGATCTAGTTATGTGATCAACAAATAGTAAGGCTAAGACTGCTTTATTGATCCTTATGGAAATTTGTTGTGGTTACAATGATATAAATGATACAATCATATAAAGACAACACAACAGAAACAGACACAACATAAAGAGTTCATTCAGCGACTACACACGGGCCTCTTGGTCCTTTTCGTATTTCTTGATCAACGAGAGTGGTGTTGATATACTCTGACCGAGTAAGAAATGAACGAGTTGTTGTACCGCTCTGTTTTAGTCTTGATTGACAGAAGTCGACCACTTTGCGACAACTTGACGTAGTTGCGATACTCTAATAATCTGCGCAGAATTAGTTATGTAGGCCAAGTAATCAGCGAATTCGATACTCTAATAGTCTAACGTAATTTGAGCTTGGCAACATTGGTAGGCTATAGCTATAAGGTATGATAAGAATCGTGGTCTAGGGCGTTAATATTTGTTGGTCCGGAGTAAAAATTATTGAACTAAAATAATAACTCTTCTTCACTCATTGCTAATTCTAACCTATAATCTATAATATAAAGTTTTGAGTGCTATTCTAAACATTCGTCTCCTGCAGACACCGGTTTGTTTCAAGGCTGTTTGAAGAGAATGTTAGGGAAAAACAACTCTGGTATCTAAGTCGACGTGTCTGACTATAGGCCTACACAGACGTCATCTGAGATATGACAGTCTATAAACTTGAGTTTTGGTGGACGTTGCAAATGATTATTCCAGTCGCCTGCTGTTGGCCTATTTCAGCCGTAGAACGACTATGGCTCATCTCATAGAGCACCTTTTCATGTGACTGTAGAGATGTAGGCCTAGGCCTATTCTCGAAAGACATTCCCCTTCACATATAACGCAGGGTAAGGATAGTCAAGGTGGCATTCGCTTTGATAAGAACAATATTAAGGCTTGTCTTCGAGTCCGAAGATTAATGAGGAGTGCAGCATTACCCGTGGCTATGCAGCCCCAGCTGCGACCTACATAATTTGCCACAGCCAGAGCAGACATAACCATTGTCCGCCGGTGGTCGATTTAGATTTTCTTTTCGCCGTCTACGTCTGTCACCAGCAGTGGATTTTCTTTTGGCTTCAAATGTTTTTCTCTAGGAAACTTGGAAAAATGATCTCCAACTGTCACGTTCCGAAGCCACCTGCAGGCTGCAGACAGGTGCTATCTTCCATGTCAGTTAAAGCAAAATGGCACATATGCTGGTATTTAAAGCGTTACCGTGGGGCACCTCTGTTGCGTCGACCACCTTTCAGCTCACCAAAGAGGTCTGCTTTTGGTATACGATATGATCCTTGGGGCTGGGTAGGTCAAATTGGGTGGCTTCTTGAACATAACTTCGCTTTGATGGTACATTATTAAATTTCAAAGTGATTTACGATCTTGGGAAAAAAAAGTGTAAAATAGAACAAACCAAATCCCTCCACATTTCTCGGTCAGCAGTTGTTCTTACCAGAATATCAAGAGAGAGGCCGGGATCAATACACTGTTAATTATTTGCCTACATCAACCTTTGTTACGCCCCTTCTTGATTTCTAGCATACAGATAGTTTCTCTAGTTTTATTTTGAGCTATTTCTTTTGGTGCGTACATTTGAGTTTTTGTGTTTGTTTCCACGGAATGACGCAAGCATTTCGCGCACAAAAAAAAATTGAACGCAAACAACTGAAGTCCAAGTCTATTTAGCAGAAACATCGGCGTCTGTGAATAAACCGCCTGTAATATTCAGCCTCCCTGGGTACATAATTTGAATTGTAAAGAAGTTTACTAATTTGAAGAAACAATATTTAGATCTACTGGTTTGTACAAGACTTAGATCTAATTCTGCAGCTGTGTTTATCAGCATCCCAAGTCTTGATTACAAATACTAAAATCTTAATCTAAGTATCAAAGTTTACTTAACATTCTTGAAATGAGTCGCATACAGTCTTCTAAGAGCGAATATAGCGGTACCGTTGGCAAGGCAGCCGCCAACCATTGCAACCACTCAAAATTCGTACGTTCGTCGATTGATCACGACATTAACAATGGCAGCTGCGTCGACCCGGAAGAGAAAGAGGATAGCAACGGCGACGACGCCAAAGTAGAAGGCAGCAAAACCAAAAGCGAAGTGGATCTAGCAGATCTGTTCAACAGCACTGGCATTGAGTTTCACAAAGTCAAAGATAGCTACGACCCGAACGTTATCCGGGCTCTCAAACATGACTTCTTCAACAAGATCCAGAAAAAAGGTCGCCGAACTACCCGCTCCGTCAACAGGAAAGTCGTGGACGATTCTTCGGATCAAGCACCTGCCGATGGTCAACTGATGACCAAGAAGGAGTTCATGGACAACTTCATCCGAGCATACGGCAGCCCAGTGGATTAATTATCGCCTCGCAAAAAACTGAAAACATTTTCTAATGGTCTTCCCGTATCAAGTCTTCTTCAGAGATCATTCTCATGATCTCATTCTTGAACGCTAGTAAGCTGTCAACTCTAAAACAAGTCCTTCCTGCAACTGACGTTGTGTCATTTCAAAGAATATTCAAATATTATTAATTATTACTATTTGGTGGATTTGGAAAACAAAAAAGCAATGTTATTATTCCGTAAGGACTGCCTTCATCTGAATTTCTTCTAATTAGCAAAATATCACAGGATGAGGTACACAATTTATAATGTCATTTGAGCATGTTTCAATTATGCCTACTTAGATATTAACTGATATTTATTTATTTGAATTTTAATTTCATATTTTTCTACAATTTTTAACATTAAGAATATGTTTAGTCTGTCATACATCATTACTTCATATTCTGAGCTATTGGCATGAATGTTATATAGATCTATAGTGTTAAATCATTAAGATAGACATTTAATAGTTAATTAGTATTAAACTATAGATATCTAATTGTTAATTAGTATTGAATTTATATAGACATTTAATAATTAATAAGTATTGAACTAAGAAAAAAAAAAGGTCATAACTTATCAGGACATCAGAAAGTTTTGGTCTGACAGTGTACGGTTTTGAATGTGTGATCTCAACCAGATAGTTTATGAATGGTATCATTAAAACCTACTAGCAACAGATGAAAAGTTTGTCTTCCATTTTGTGTTGTCTCACTTAGGAATATTTGTGTTAACTTCCTATTCTCTTCTTATAGCTTTAATTTTAAACATTGTCTGATCTAGGAACCATTGAAAACTTTAAAAAAAAACCTAAAGATTTAGACTCATAATAAGATACCAATGCTAGCAAGCATTAAAAAGCAAACACTCAATAAAAAAATGAATTAACACAGAAAAAACAAAACAAATGAAAAAAAAAAATAATAATTAAAACATGAAAAACACATATTAAACCAAACAACAAACACATGTAAACCTACTGGTACACGAGTGAAAAGCAAAGCAACAAACACATAAACCTAATAATACAAACCAAATAACAAATGGATGGGAAATAACATTAGAAACAGAACAGAGAATTATTATTC